GATCCATTATGCTACATACAGATACCCATTGGCCCACTTACCAAATCTAGCTCATTGCCCCATTTTTTGGTAAAGAAGGATGAGACACAGCCATGCTCACTTGCACCTTCTGTAATAGCTACTTTTGTGTTATGGTGGCAGAATCTTATCGCTGCAACAGACCAGGTGATCCTCAAAGCTGAGAATGTTTCTGCCTAGCCCTTTAAGAAGAAGGGCTTTAGTTAACCTTTAAAAGAACAATACTTTATTGTTCTTCTTCCAGCTCCCATTCCCCCCAGGGTTGTGTGTTCTTTCATTTTGTCACGTGATAGGGACAGATTTTTCCTTTTAATTTTAATAAATGAAACAAATCTAATGACATACCACCATGTTGCGGGGGAGAGTGGCACATTAGAACTTCAAACTAATGTGCTGGGTTATACTTTGTGCTGATACTCTGACGTCACATATACTGGGCCCCAAATGGTTGGTGAGGGGTGGTGGGAAGAGCCCAGTGCAGTGCACAGGCACCTTGGTACCGAGGCCCAGGTAATGACTGGCTGTTGAAGTCAAGGCAGGCTTTTAAGAAGTGAGCAATATATCCCCTGTGACTTCTTATTTCATTATTTGAATCTCCAGTGATTATTTCATTTCTGCTGTTACCACACAGCTTTAATAAGTGACTCTACCAAATAGAGTTTGGTTCTGTAGTACCTAAGGGGAATGTTGTTTTCTAATGTGGAATGCCTTTCAGTGACTCACTTCTTTTCTTTGTCCAGCTAAGCTCAGCCACCAGTTAGTTTCTACTCAGTGCTTGGGGACTAAAAAGTAAGTGAGACATGGTTCTTGACCTCAGAGTATTTACACTTTGGGACAAAAAATTGTGAATGGAGTGGTAACTTGCAATTAAACAGAGGGTATCTGGAGAACACCATAGTTCAAACTAGAAATGGAGGGAAACATGGTGGCAAAGAGCTCAGCCTTGGAAGATAAAGTGGTGACAAGATGAAAGAAGGTTGGGAAGGCTTTTTCTGTTAAAGAAAGTTTAAGCAGTATCATGGAAAGATGAGACAACCTGGCTTGCAGGGAAACAATCAGTAGTTGATCAAAACAAAGGTGGTGTTTTGCAGAATTTTGCTAGAAAACTACTGAGAAGCAAGGTCATGGTGGATTTTTTCTTACAAGGAGCTTTAATTTGAGGGTGATAAGGACTTACTTCCTAGAGGGCTTTGGATGAGTCAGTAAAGGCAGATATGCCTTTAATAGAGAGGAAATACTGGAGAACAGAAATTCAGTTCAGAGGCTACTGCAACAACCCTCACCAAAAGATGATGAAAATACTGGGGACAGAGAAGGGAAATGTTAATGGGGAAAAATGAGAAATATACTTCTCTTCAATTTGCAGACTTAGACAATTTATTGTCCATTTTGTTCAACATGTCTCCTTCTGAATTACATTTGCTTTCATTCACATCAATTACATAAACCAAAGGGATACTGAGAAAAGCCAAGATTATCATTTAGTTCAATATAAAATGCTAAAGGAAGGGTTTTCAAAAAGTTTGTACCATGGAAGTCCATTTCCTGAGCAGGCTAGCTACACAGTCATTGTCACAAAGATCCTTAGGCTAGCATTAAATCCTATTCTAATTAGGTTTTTCACCTTTACTCATGCCATCCAAGATCGCTTTTAGTTCTCTGTTCTTGCTTCCAGATATGTACTTTTTCTTTAACAAATTAGCACCCAAGGTTTATTAATTCCACCAACAGATGGTCCTGACACATACAAATCTCACCATGCAAACGTTTGGATTTTTAATCAGGATGTTTTGTGCCCACATGGATTATTTCCCCGCCTGCATAAATAGCTTGAGGCCTGAGGCATTGCGATGAGGCTCAGGTGGTGGAATTGTTGGTGAATGTGAACTTCATCCTCCAGTCTCTCCTGCACTCCAAACTGCAAGCAGCAAGTTCCAAAAGACAAGGAAAGGAATTGGGCTTAAACTCTTCTTGCAGAGGATTTCTTGGAGAACCAGTATTTGTTCTGATGAAGGATCTGGAAGGAAGGTGATTCTCCACCCTGTGCCACAGGGAGTCAGTGCCAGCTCTGCCTCCCTCAGTCTGTGGACAGTAGTATTTAATGTTAAATTAATGTCCATATTCTCTGCTTTGCCATGACAAGGCTGGTGAGTACAGTATAGACCACTCAAAATGAGCCAGTTCTGAAGCCCAGGCTCTCTTGTACAGAAATTTATACTTAACAACTTTCCCATATCAGGAAGAAGGAAAAAAGAAAAGAAAAAAAAAAGGTTATGGCAGCCTAATGGCCAAGCACTCATGGTCTCCTGGCTACTTCTAATTGTGTTGTCATTAAACATCTATCTTCCCCTCTATGAAATTGTGGGTCTTGATCTCTGCTGAATACTGTTGAATTTCAAATACATGCAAAGTATCGCACCAGGGCTCAGTGAGGACTTTTGTATTTCTTGAGGTTGAGGTAGTGTCCTAGATCTTGTAGATAAAAAGATGTATCTCGTATGGGCTCCATGCTCCTAGGGCTCACAGTCTGGTGGGGAGGCAGCACAGCTGTGCACTAGCTCCAAGGAAGGGATGGACAGAAGCCCTGAATGAGAACCAGAGGCAGAATCCGCCAACCTGCTTTTGATGGCTTTGTAGAGGTGATGTTGGTAGGCCAGAATAAGTTCACAGACCTACTTTGTATTGCTGCTGACAACTCACCAGGGCTAGGGGCCAGCACCAGCTCAAATAGGGTGGTCAAAGCTCTGAGAAGTCTGGAGTGCTGCTGCTGCCTGCTGAAGTCTAGGAAGGTACCTTTGAAGTGAATTCTACACCCAACAATGAAGAACTGGCTGCACTTATGGGTAGCTCCCTTCTTCTGGCCCAGGCTTTTACATCAAAATGACTTCCACAATACTAGGTTTCTAGGCTCTGGTTTGAAAAAGACAAAACCCAGAACTCTGAGCCTTTCAAAACAGGCAGTTTTGGGGGGTAGGTCTTTGCTGTCACTTATTCATTCAGTAGTTGGCTTTCAGGTTGCCTTATTCCTAAGACAGAAGTTCTGAAAGCTAATCTACAAACCACAAGCATGAGCAATTACCTGGGAACTTATTGGTCCTACAGATTCTAAGATCCCTCCCAGCCCTACCCAATCAGACCCTGAGAATGGGGCCCAATCTTCTCCCAGGGATCTCTGATACATGCTCAGTTTGAAAGCACCTGACCTAAGTGTTCATTTTAAATACAGGTTCTCAAAACCACTCTCAGAGAATTCTCCATTGGTTGGATGAGCAATTGTCCTGTTACTGTAGCACTTCCACAGGCCTTGCCTTCCAGGTCAACTCCTAAGCAAACTTCAGCTTTTTCTGACAGTCCCTTCCATATTACCGGTATCACCTGGGCCTGTAACCAACTGCTTACTATGCTGTTTCCTGTCTAACAACCCGTCTGAACCTCAGTGGCTGCATCAGTAAAATGGGGGCAGTAATCCAAATGATTATCAGACAATGCAAATTTGTCAAGTTTAGAGATAAGAAGTGAGGTATCTGGGCAAGGCACTCTGACACTTGGGAAACAACCAGTCACTGACAGCTGTCCTGACTGTCGTACTTTTGTTCTGGGCCCAGACGTCTGCTAGTTACAAAGGATGATTGCAGATTAGTCAGAAAAACCAGCCTTAGGAGTACGTGATACTCATTGCATCCCCCTTTGAAGATCAATACTGACTAAATCAATTACAGAAAGCAAAAAGAAGAGAGTGGGCCATGGTGGGAATTCTGAGCAATGTCACCTCCTTTCCCCATATCAAGCTTCTTGACCAAGGACCATATAGAATCAGCACCATTTGGATCCCTTCTGCTAACTGACCCTGCTATGTAGTCTCTACCCGGGGCATAGCTGTACTTGGTTCTATTTGTAGCCCATCACCCATCACAAGCGCCTTGGCTCTGGACACAGACTCAAATTGGAAGATGTGGAGAGGAGAAATTTCCATACAGATTGGAATGCATAATGGAATGACCTGTAGGAATCCTTCCAAACTTGAGATCGGGTAGACTGAGCACTACTTAGCCTATAAACTGCTCTGAAGTCCTTGGCAGCAAACATCTCTTCAGGAGGTTCATTCTTGATCCAGTGATCCCCCTCACAATGGAATTATGCTCATTGCCTCTTGATATATAGTTCCAGAATACCAAGGATGCCTTTAAGAATATAATCTTAGAGCAGAATCCTGTATCTCTTTTAATAGGTGGTGATGTCTTAGTTCTTCATGTTTTTAAAATAACTTGCTTCAAATGCTTTTCCCTTGATCAATCAGACCTTCTCTCTCCTCTCTTCCACTGTTCTCTCCTTCTCTCCTCTGTTTCCTCTCTTCTCCTCTCTCCCCTTTCCCATCTTCTCTCCCCCTCTCTCTTTCTCTTTCTCTCTCTCCTACACACACACACACACACACACACACACACACACACACACACACACACACTACTTCAAGGAAAGTATTCTATCACTCAAAGGAAAAGGCACCATGAATTTGTGACTTCCTGTTGCTATAGGAAAGACAGTCTTGAATCCAAGTTCACTCCAATGGGACTAAATACTTTCTTCCTTAGATTTTAGCTGAGTGTTACCACTGGCAGCTTTGACGGTCAAACTGGCATTGCCAGAAGTAAAAACATGTGACATTAGCATTAAAAACTGTCTCTTGTGTACAAAAGTTCCAGGTAAGTCATGCAAATTGCAAAGACTGGCAGGTGTGGGAGGAGGTGCTATGCTGTACAGTGTGGGCAAAATGTTCAGATTTCAGTCACTTTTCTGTGAGCAAGGAGATTTTGATGAAGCACACACACTTTAAGACATACAAGACTTGAATGTCTGGACGTATTGCCTTGCAGCTAAATTGAATGTTCAGTAAATTCTGAACAGCTCTTAGCCAAGAAACAATAATCCTTGTTCTCATCACTGAGCTATGTGTGTGATTTCACTGGAGAAAGCCATTGCAACAATCAAAACACAGAATTTTCCAAGACCTCCAAGCCAGGCTCATCCACATAGCTTATAACTTCAGTTTCTGTTTCACCAGAACCGGTTTTCTGCAAAACAAAACATTCCTTAGATGTCTTTTAGAGAAATTTTTGTCTCTTTGCATTCTTTACAATTGGCTTTTATTTCTAAAATAAAAACAGTGAACATTTGCTGAAAAAAATATGAAAAGTCAGAAGAAGAAAAAATACCCAAAAGCCTATCTTCCCAACACACCCCACTGTCTTCCCTCAATCCTTTTTCTAGGCATAAAGTTTTCTTTACATATATAATGAAGTCATAGGGATACACAGCTTTATTTTATTTATTTGTAATGCTAGGGATTAAACCCAGGGCTTTATGCATGTTAAGTATGCTAAGTGTATACACTATCGATGTGGTATAGATCTCCAGCCCTTGCACAGGGCACAGCTTAGAAATTTCTTTCTTTCTTTGTAATATCATACAATACTTTAAACTGTATTGTTAGATGGTCTTTAAATCCATCTTATTTTTTGAGATTCTGGGGTTCAAACCCAGGTCCTTGATTATGCTAGCCAAGTTCTCTACTACTGGGCTACACCCCCAGCCTGACCTTGTCCATTTTTTGTTTTCTTTTGCTTTGCTTTGTTGTTCTGAGACAAGGTCTTGCTATGTAGCCTAGGCTGGCCTGGAACTCACTATGAAGATAGGCTGGTCTCCAACATGTGATCTTGCTGCCTTAGACTCCCTGAGTACTAGGATTACAGGTGTGTAACACCACACCAAGATCCTGACTTCATAATTTTCAATGTCTCCATTATATTAAGAATTATAAACAACTTAGAGAGAGATTAAAGCATATGGGTCCTCTTGTCCTCATAGCAGAGGCCCCAAAAATGGGGTAGTTTCTGCCTTTAAAGGTTGAGGCTGGGGTACTGCCAGCCTCTACCATGGTCTGGCTGTGGTCAGCTCTTGGCTTACACAATCTCACAGGTTGAGAATTTAGACCATAGGGATGATAGCACCAGACAATACTTTTGTTTTCTGAGTCCCATGTTCTATTTCTCTGTGTCTCTGTCTCTGTCTGTCTCTGTGTCTCCCTCCATCTTCTTCCTCTCATTTGTTTGTATGTGAAACTCTGCTCTGTGAGGAGAGAGTAAGTTGTTCTAGAAGCCAGGCAATGTTGAGCTCTGATATTAATCCTTTGTTTATTCTAGAACCAGCTTGTCTACCCCAAGTCATAATTTTACATACATGACTTGATTTTAATTAACAACAAACCATAAGCTTATATAATAAGCTGTTAAGCCAGTTTCTTTCACCAACCCCACAATATTAATGGAATCTTTGGGGGGGGCTCTGTAGGGAAATTAGATAGCAGACTTAAGATGTTCTATTAAGAGGTCAGGACAAATGACATCAGTCAACTGCTTAAATCCAATGTGGTTTTCTGTGCTACAGCCAAGAGGGATCAGCGGAACACATTAGATGAACTGATGCAAAGTTTCACATGGGGCACATTCTCCTTCCCAAAGAAATGTGGGAAAGCAAAAGCATTTGGGCCATTTCCTCAATGCAGGAGAGTACACAGATACAACCAAGGACACAGTGACCCCCTGACCAGCCTCAATTCTCTGCTTAATAATATAGTAACTTTTTATCTGTAAGTCATACCAAATACCTGAACTGCAAACTCTAAAGACCCAGATTTTTGAAATTCATCATTTTGGTGACTTTTCCATCAACCCTTTCCTTTCCCTCACCATATTATTCATCTCATTATGTTAGAGAGAGACCTAAATTTGTTAAGAAAATCACCTAATCTAAATCAGGGGTCAGCAAATTACATCCAAATCTAGCTTGTCCCCTGTTTCTGTAAATAAAGTTTTATTGAAATGCAGCCATGGTCATCCATTAGTACATTTTCTATCGATGCTTTCACACTGCAGTGACAAAAACTATTCCTGAAATATTTGTTATCTGCCTCTTTCAGAAAAATTTTTCTGACCTCTGATATAAATAGCCATTCAACATAAGGATAAAATTGACATGTGAAATAACTGTACACTGAAAATGACAAAACACTGCTGACAAAAATGAAAGAAAACATAAATGTATGGACCAATATGCTGCGTCTGCACACTGGAAGAGTCAGTATTGTTATGGCATCACTTTTTCCCCAAATTAATCAATCATTCAACAATCCAACTCAAAATTCCAGCTGTCTTTTTTTGGTAGGAAATGACAATCTGGTTGTAAAATTTCTGATAATCAAAATACTTAGGAAAATCAAAACAACTTTGAGGGAAAAGGTCACTTTTGGAGGCCTCGCTCTATCTGGTCTCAAAGTTTACACTATAACTGTAATAATCATGACAATACTGTTTTTGCCATAAAGATCATTGAAGAGATCATTGAAAGCAAAGAGAGAGTTTAGCAATAGAGTCACCTATATAGAGACCAAAAAATTCTAAGAAAGATGTCAAGACAATCATGAGGGAAAGGATAATGTTTTCAATGAGTGAAGCTGGAAAGATTGGATTGTTATAGGTAAATGACCATTTGGTTAAGCCAAGGGCTCCAGAAAGCATGAAAATGCATGTTGGGAAGAATCACTTGCCTTCCCTGTGGTTTTGTTTACTAAGGAGCTGAATTCCCCCTGAGCAGTCTTTATTGATTAGGGCACTTGTGCAGAAACAATCTTAAAACATTAGCATTTAGCAGAACATTGGACAATCTCACCCATGCCTCTCACTACAGAAAAGGCAGTCAAGATTCCTAGGGCTGCAGGGATTGCCCGAGGTCAGTAGAGAGATGGTGGGTATGAAATTAAAATTAAGGTTTGACTGATGAAGGCATGCATCACTGATTACGACTTTTCCAATATACAGAGACTGTAGGGAATGTAACTCTGCAGATCAGCCCAGGAGCAGAACCACTGAAGTAACAGGAAGTCTCCTGGTCTTCTAGTAGAGAACCGAGAACCCAATGAGAGTTCTTGGGAACTTAACCCCAGCCACTTGGGACATAAGGAATTTCAATTTTACCTCATAGTTGGTAGTCACAAAGAGATCTTTGAGGTTGTTTTTTGGTTCTGGAACTGGAGGAAACAACTTGGTCCATAAGTGACACCTGAAAACAGAGTGAGGGAAGAAATCAAGTATGCATAACCATCTTTTCTGTCCCTAAACACCTACTTTAAAAATGGATCTAGTTACCTCTACAACTAGCTGTTTCATAAATTTAAAAATCATTATTCATCAATACTTACAAATACTACATCATAATGCTAGTTGAGGACCTTGGCATACTGCAAGGCTGTGGTGTGGGTTCTGAGTCATCCAAGAAAGATAAAGTAGTAACTTAACATCTGTGCCCATTGCCAGGCCATATTTCTGAAGATGGACCATAAATGTCCAGTGTGAGGCACCTTGCTGGTTATAACATTCAATGCTTATTATAACAGTCCATCCTCAACTTTGCTAACTCACAGAGGTTCCCTTCTCTCCTTTCCCTTCCTTTGAACTGCCATCCCACCAACCCACTGATGTCATCTGAGTATAGCACCTATAATAATAAAATAAAATTAAATAAATACTGCTATTTAATATGAAAGGTTTTTCCTAAATTGTGAAGGAGACAAGATAGAACATGTTCTAAAGTGTCCTGAAGGGTACTTTGCTTTACTGGATGCTAAAATGGAGGAAGAGTAATTATGAGGCCATTTGCAGGCCACAAGACAGAATACCAGACCTGCAGGGCATTTCTAGAACCTGTGTTTGTCCTAAGAACGATCAGTCACTTGGCTCAGGTGACTGAGTAGCAGGTAGGAAGTTGGTACTTGATTATTTAGGCCATAATGTGGGAGCATTGTGGTGATCTCAGCCTTCTTATACCTGAGGTATTAAAAAGCCCATCTTGGTGGCTTCACAAAGACAAGCAAGGGTCTGTGAAGAAATCAAAAGAATACAAAGGGAAAGCCCCTCAGAAATGAATAGGTTGTCAAAATTTGAGAAGGAGGTGTGCTACACTTTGACTAGTTTCTGTCCATCATGAACTGATGTTTCTCACTTTTGATCTGGTGTTCATTTACTTTAGAAAGACCATCCAGAAACAGAAGTACTGTAAATTCCACCTGATAACAAGAACCCTCTGTTTGAAAATGCAATACTGAGACCCAGCTAGAAGCAACTCCCTGCAACAAACACTTACATTCTGCAGGCGAATGAGAGAATTAACAAGAGGAAACAGATGGCTGCTGTGAGCACAATGAGAAGCCATTCTGCCAAGTGCTTCTGCTCATCCTTTCCTGATGGGTGAAAAGAGAGAAAGAAAGTATTAGTGTTAGAATCAGGGACAGAGGAAAGAAATGATGAGGGTTGGGCACCAGAAAGCTTTGGTTTGAGTCACAGGCACTGGGTAACGCTAGGTATGTAGCTTAACCTTCCTGAGCCTTAGATTTCTCATCTGTTAAAGAGGATGATATCCCTATCATAAAGCCAATAGGGTGGACTCATCCCCATGAGGTCACTTTTAGTCTTCAAGCATTAATAATTCAATCAGCAAATATTTTGGAGTCCATTCCTTGTACTGTGCCACCTGGATTCTGCTTAGGGTAACTAGTGAGATTTTTAAATGGAAAAGCCACAAAAACATAAGGCTGTTAAAAAATGGATTGCATTACAGTAAAATTATTTTTACCAAGGTGGAAATGGAAATTTTGGAGGGAAGGATAAGAAAATACTCATAGTTTGCAACACAGGCAGCATCAGAGTCTATAAGATGAGCTTTCTGATCTTAATTATCCCCAACTCCCCTCTATGATTACCATTTCACAGATAGGAAAGTAGACGAAAACTGTCAATTGTCAGTACAGAAGTGTTTGTGCATGCCACTCTATTCTTTAAGTTTGTTCCTGACCTATGTTCAATGGAGCAGTTCTTCTATAGTTCAATGATAGCTTTGGGGTGTATGAGGTTTTCTGTTGATGTTTGTTTTTAAGGTACTGGGAATACATTCAAGAAAAATCCAAGGTCATTCACTAAATTGTGTTTAAAGAAGTAGTGCTAAACTCCCTAATTTGCTTTCAGAGACTAATGCAAACTCTGAGTTCTTTCCTTGAATACAGAACTATGTAGTCTCCTTAGAAGAAACTGCTCCTTCATTCATTCCTTTATTCATTTCACAAATGTTTATTAGGATCCCATTAGTTGTTTGGTGCTGTACAAGTTATTATGATGCTATGCTAAGTTCTGTGGTGAAGTTCAAAGCACACTACACCAGGAGAAAAAGATTCCAATCCTCTGGCTCTTTATTCATGGTTTCTTCTACAAAACAAGAAATGCATATGAGTGGAAATTTCCAGCCCTTGTGAATAGCCTAAGACTTCAAAAAAAAAAAAAAAGAAAGAAAGAAAGAAAGAAAAAACTCCAAAATGCTTAAATCCTCCAAACATTCAAGTGTCAAGAGGAGATGTCTGGATTTAGTGCTAGTGATGCCTCCCCTGCCTCATCTCTTGCTTTGTTGCCTCCTGGGCACTCTTATTTAGGTTACTTTTCTGCCTCCCCAAAGCTTTAATCTCCTCTTCATCTCTTCCCTTCTGCTTTCAAATATCAATAGACAGATTCCTTTATCTTAAATAAGCCATGGCTTTGCTCAGCCAAATCCCCCACCTATCATTAAATACCTTCTTGCTTTCGTCTAATTTCCTGAATGAGGGATTCAGGCTGCTTTGTTTTCCCTCCTCTGAAAGTGTTCTTTAAATCACAGTCCAAAAAGATTCTTGGTTTCTTTTCCCAACTTTATTTTTCCTGATCTCCTTCCTGAATTTCAGATGTTGACAGTTGAGTCCACCTTTACTGACTGAACTCATCATGAAACAGAACTGACTCTTTGACACACATGTTCCCTTTCTTCCCTAGCGTTTCCATCTCCCTTTGTAAATTTCAACTGGCCTTCTCAGCTCCTCTCTTGACTCTGGTAGTTCTCACTGCAGTTTGTTCTTTGAACATTAAAGTTTTCTCACCACATCTTCATCTTCTAACTCCACAAGCTCTTCTCCCTTCCCTGACACATAGCTCCAGGTCTAGATCATAAACTGCCCATAGACAGAACCTACTTGAGTGTTTTGCAAAGCTGACCACAGTCAAAACCAGACTCATGCTCTTCTTGGCCTCAAAACTACTTCCCTCACTGACTTCCCCATTTCAGTCCCTGCTCTTCCAACCCCTCAAACCTAGATCCTTGAAATCACCTTGATTCTTCCCATTCCTTATAGCTGCTGCCCTTTTCCTGGTGTCACAGCATCAGGTGTGTACCTAGTCCTAAATGAATAAGCTGCCCACCTTTGTCTCTGGCAACCATCCTTGCTTAGTCTGGAGACCTGGGTTCCAAGTCCACCTTGCTACCAAGGTGGTTGTACTGGTCCTTGATTGGCTCACCTCAAACTAGGGAAGCTGGAGCACAGGCTCCTTCAGCTCCCTCTCCAGCCTGTGCCTTTTCTAGTGTCACTCATTTGGTCCAGGGCTTTGTCATTTCACATACATGGACCTTTAACAAAACTGATTTTAGAAAAATAATGCATATTCATGTCTGGAAGTTTGAAAGTTGTAGTAAAGTATTTTTAAAAGTCAGCTGTTCTCAGAAGTAACTAGGAGTTTGGTTTTTTACATGTGTTTTTATATATACTTTTTTGAGTGCCCAGACATGTTAATTCTCAGATGAGCCTGTTATTCTAACTGTACAAATGGAGAAAGTGGAGCAGAGGATACTCAACTCATCAGTAGGGGATGCAAGCCCAGGACTGGCCCACCAGTCTACCCCTTACCTGACACAGAAATCCTGGTCCACTCTCTCCAACCTGCAAAACTCAGGAAATTCTGCACATGCTGGGGCTTCACCTAACTTATTCTAAGCATTTCTTTGTCATCAAGAACTCTCCTGCATCATCGCCTTTGTAGCAGGATGTTATTCACTGTAGGGAAGCCCTGTTGAATTGTGTCCAAGGTGTCAGAGCTAAGTTTCCAGATCCCTTATTTAATTGAAAATAGCTGTTGTGCAAACTGTCATTCCCCTCATTGCCCCCTAGGCTCAAAATGGGACTGAATTGTTGCATTAAAAACCTATGAGGCTCAGAGGTAGAGTTACTTGCCTAGCCATGCAGGAGTCCCTAGGTTTAATCCCCAGTACCACAAAAATATAAAACAATACAAAACCCATGAGTATACTGTTGAAAAGTTTAATTTTGAAATATGTGTATGTGCATTATAAATAGGCATTAGCCACACTTTGCAAAAAGAAAACAGACCCTCAGAGAGGCAAACCTCTTATTTTTCCAAATCCAACTGATTCTCCGTGGTTCTAGGATTCATGTTCAATTTTTTGGGCTGGAACTGAGCGTCTGTTAAACCTTATTTTTACACACTTTCTCATAGCTAATATGAAGAACAAGTGGCATCAACTGATGTGGATGAATCAAATACTGCCCATTTATTTCCTGGTCTGATTTCCTGAATAAGAGATACAGCCTGCTTTATGTCCCCATCTCTGAAATTAACTATTGTATGCTCTTAACTGCTGTGCAAGTACCCTAATAAGTACAGTCAGAAACTCCACAGTCAAATATGGATGTGGATTCAACAGCAATTATGTCAGCAAAACAGACAAAAAGAAGTCCTGTTTACAACTAAGTTACAGAGACAGAAAAACTTTGGGTCTTGCAGAAACAAGTTGTGTCGTAAATATTATCAGGGTCACACACTTTGTCACGTTTGTGGCCCATATTGTGCAATACTCACAGCCTGATATGCCAAGGTCCGATAACAGTACCGTTTTCTTCTGACCATGATTACAAAAATCCTTTCAGTTAAACCACTCTCTGGTTATTCACTTCACCTCTCACTTTGATAAGTGAAGATTCTCCCTGAATTAGCCAAAATATAGAAGCAACTGATTTCATTCAATCAAAAAAAGTTATCGATGCATATTAGGTACGCCTTGGAAAGCAGAGTCAATGTCAGTGTATGGAGGACGTTGGCAGATGAATCATTTCTGCTGCCCTGGCTTCTCCAGCAGCGGCTCTCATAGAGCCAGGTGAGAGCAAAACTCACACCAAGATTAGCACGGTGAGCCTCGGGTAAATTTGGTGCAAGGAAAAGCTTTCATGTACTCATGGATGAATGGAAATCACTTGTAAATTATCTACTATTCAATTATCTACCAATTCCAAAAATTATTGAGAATAAGTCATGAATTCAAGAAAACTCTTACTTTAGTTTCACTGTAGAAGAACAAGAAAACAGGTCCTGGACAACATCTATACTTTAGGAAAAAAATGGTTAAGCATTTCAGTTGGGAGATGCATTCATACATCCTAAATTTGAATTTTTGATTCTATGACCTTGGAGATTTTTTTCTGAGTTTGATCCCTGCACTCGGAGGAAATAAAAAAAATTTCCAGGCAAGTGGTCACTGGTGGCTCATGCCTGTAGTCCTAGCTACTCAGGAGGCAGAGATCAGGAGGATGGAGGTTTGAGGCTAGCCTGGGCAAATAGTTCGAAAGACTCTGCCTTGAAAATTCCCAACCCAAAAAAGGACTTGTGAATGGCTCAAGTGGAAGAGCACCTGCCTAGCAAGTACAAAGCCATGAGTTCAAATCCCAGCACCCACCCTGCCAAAATAGCTCCAGGCAATTTGAATCTTTCTATAACTCAAGGAAGACACCTTGTCTGCCATTAAAAGTGAGCCACAGATATTTCTTGTTAAGAAATTAGTGGTTTGTAAATGTCACAATGTACCCTCAGTGTATCAATAATATAAAAATAAAATTAAAAATTTTTAAAACTTGGTGGACACTTTGATTTGTTATGCAGAGATGACTTTTGACAGAGAAAGCCACACAACCTATCCTAAGGAGAAGACCTCCAGACTGTTCACCTCATTTCTGGGTCCTCTGCCGATCTCACCCGCTTACAGCATTGGGGGAACACAGCTGTCTGGTTTCTGGTGACCTCAGTTTCAATTGTTTTTGCCATCACAGCCAGTTGACCTTGCAAATAAGCCAACAGATGAGAATTCTGATGGTTTAAGCCCTGGGATATACACAGGCTGGGTTGTGATGATGGCAACAGAGAGGCCAGGAAGTCTCCAGGTGTGTACCAGCTTGGTCCCTGCTCTGCCACTGGCTGCCTTGAGAACCTTGTCAAATCACTTCCCTCTTGGTACTGCAACCCCCTAAGCTCTATATAGTTAAGACTAATAGCTCTTGGGAGGTAGATTTGATTTGGAGGCCTCTTCCACCTTAAATGTTCA